ACATGCACATTGACCTTCTGCAGGAGTCGCGGTCCAACATCCACAAGGTGAACACGCGGCTGACGGAGATCCGCCGCGTGGCCTACAAGCTGTCCAACACCTTCATGGACAGCGTCGAGATCATCCGCAAGCAGACCCAGGGTAAGGACTGCCAGGAGCTCATCCAGACGTGCTTCATCTTCGCCACCGAGTTCGGCCAGCGCTCGCTGCTGTACATGGACAGCAACCGGCGGCAGATGAACAACCTCAAGCTGACCAAGCTGGCGCTGGACTGGGTCAGCTTCATCTGCGACGACTGCGTCGCCTCGGACCGGCGCACGTTCCGCTGGGCGGTGCTGGCCCTCGAGTTCGCCATGGGCATGACGCGCGGCCGGCACATCCTGGCCCTGGGCGAGGAGGAGTACGAGCGGATCCGCGCAAAGGTCGGCGGCTGCATGTCGGTCCTCATCTCGCACTTTGACATCATGGGCGCGCGCTCCAGCCTGGCCGCGCAGGCGGAGAAGGAGAGGATCGAGAATCTCGTGAGCCAGTTTAGGAAGGACAAGAACAAGATGCTCGACGACGACGAGGCCACCATGAGCGTCACCGAGCAGCGGCTGGAGAAGCTGGTGCGCGTCGACGAGTTCCGCGAAGGCAAGGAGGCGGAGCGCCGGGCGCTGGGCCGCGTGCTCGAGACCAACAACGAGGCCGACCGGTCGCTGGCCTACCTCTCGGCGTCGGCCACCAACGTCACGGTGCGGTGGCAGCAGGGCCAGTTTGTGGGCGGGGGGACCTTTGGCAACGTGTACGCCGCTATGAACCTGGACACGGGCCATCTGATGGCCGTCAAGGAGATTCGGCTGCAGGACCCCAAGCTGATCCCGACGATTGCCGAGTCGATCCGCGAGGAGATGCGCGTGCTCGAGGTCCTCGACCACCCCAACGTGGTGTCTTACCACGGCATCGAGGTCCACCGCGACCGCGTCTACATCTTTATGGAGTTTTGCTCCGGCGGCTCGCTCGCTAACTTGCTCGAACACGGCCGCATCGAGGAGGAGGAGGTCATTATGGTGTATGCGCTGCAGCTGCTGGAGGGTTTGGCCTATCTGCACGAGAGCGGCATTGCCCATCGCGATATCAAGCCAGAGAGTAAGCTGCCTCCCCTCTCCAACCCCCCGTTTCTCCCCCTTGTTTTTCTTTTCTATTACGCTCCTCGGTCGTGATTGTTATTCAATTGCTAACCCCGTGTATAGACATTCTCCTGGATCACAACGGCATCATCAAGTACGTCGACTTTGGCGCCGCCAAGCTCATTGCTCGTCAGGGGCGAACAATGGCCGCGGACCTCCACGCCACGAAGCCCAACAAGTCCATGACGGGCACGCCCATGTACATGTCGCCCGAGGTCATCAAGGGCGAGAACCCCGGTAAGGCCGGGGCTGTGGACATTTGGTCGCTGGGGTGCGTCATCCTCGAGATGGCGACGGGCCGGCGGCCGTGGGCCAACCTGGACAACGAATGGGCCATCATGTACAACATTGCGCAGGGCAACCCGCCGCAGCTGCCGACGTC